TTTATAGGACTCCCATCCAATGTTTCCTTTACCCAGTTTGGGGGTGGGTGGGAAGAAGTCCCAGGCATGGAAGTGACCATGCCCAACAACAACCCATCCGCTGAGTTGAGTGCCTCTTGAAAGACAAACCCCAATTGTTATCTGACATCAAGACAGAAAGGGCTCCAAGTACAAAGTAAAAATCAAGCCACTTACCTGTGAAAGCTTCAGAGGTTGCCCCATACAAGGAAACACTCTGCGGACAAGGGCCAAGCCTGCTGAACACAGAGTTTCATAAACGTCTGGTGGTGAAGAAGACAAGTCCTGATGTGAATCGTCTGTACAGGGAAGTTCCATAGACTCTCCCTCGAGGATGTGACTTGGAGTTGCCAAGTCCATTGTCTAAGTCTCGGGGCTGCCTGGGGTGTGTAGCACAGAGCCAGAGAGAACTAGAAAATGATCCGTTGAGATTTCTGAGACTCAGGAGCTGTCTCAAGCAGTGTCTGCATCTTATTTCTTCCAATCCTTAGAAAAGATCATTTTGTTCCTATTTTCTAAATGGTGGCACAGGGAGGGTGTGTGCCTTGCCTGGTTGGAACAGTGGCTCCTGAAGCATGAGGTTAGAGTGGTGACATGACCGGTTCCTTAGCCCCATTCCTTGGGCTAGGTGGGGACATAGCCTGGGAGGGAACCCGGCTTCTACAAGGCAGGGGTCAGGTTCTGTTATGATGTGAAAACCTGTGCTCCTTTTCCTAACTGGGAGGAGGAAGTGGGGGAACAGAAGTGCGGGAAGGGTTGGAGCCAGCCAAACAATGACATCGACGAGTGGTGGGCACCCGGGCTGGCGCGCAGTTGCCGCTAATGCTGGTAATTAGCAACCAGAGCTGAAGGTTGGTGCTGTCCCTGTACGACTGTCTAGGCCAAGGACCTTGTTACCACCATCTGCCCTCTCTCTGTGGGGTCCGACCTCCAAGTACCTGCTAACTACCAGGGAGCAGCAACAGGCAGTCTGGACTCTCACTGCACCCTGGGTTGCCTGATTTAGCAAATAATTGTTTCAGATAACAATGGATACCCTTTTAGTATGAGTTAGCCCCAGCTGGTGGTTAACCACAGAACTGGTGGTGCAGGTGTGCTTCTCACAGGTGTTGGAGTGCAAAGTCTGCAGGTATAGGAAGCCCTAGGGGGCATGCTCATTAATGCGCTTCCACAGGAAGGAATTGAACCAGTACTGCCACCACCACAACCTTTACTGAGGGCTTGCTGTTGTTAGTTGTATAACCCAATGTACAACAGAATAAAACACTGCCTAGTCCTGTGCCATACTCACAATTTTGTTTGAGCCTACTGCTGCTGCCACCGTGTCAGTCCATCTCATTGAGTGTTTTCCTCTTTTTTTTTGCTGACCCTCCTCTTTACCAAGCATGATGTCTTTCTCTAGGGCACGGGTCCCTCCTAAAAACACTACCAAAGTATGAAGAAGTCTTGCCATTCTGGCTTTTAAGGAGCATTCTGGCAGTACTTTTTCCAAGACAGATTTGTTTATTCTTTCAAGCAGTCTAAGTACTTCTAATATTTTTCTCCAACACCATAATTCAAATGCATTAATTTTTCTATGGGCTTTCTTATTTATTGTCCAACTTGCACATACATAAGAGGGAATTGAAAATACCATGACTTGGGTCAGGAGCATCTTTACACTCTCACACTATAAAGAGGTATTTTGCACCCAAATTACCTAATGTAATAATACATCATTTGATTTCTTGACTGCTGCTTCCATGAGTATTGATTGTGATTACAAGCATATTGAAGTCTTTGACAGCTTCTCCAATTATCAGGATGCTATTTTTTTAGTCCAGTTGTGAGGATTTTTGTTTTCTTTTTATTGAGGTATATAATCCATACTGAAGGCTGTAGTCTTTGATCTTTATCACTGAGTATTTCAAGTCCTCTTTGCTTTCAGTAATTGTGTCATCTGCATATTGCAGGTTGTTAATGACTCTTTATCCAATCTTGATGCCATACTCTCTTTCATATAATCTAGCTCCTTGGATTATTTGTACTTGTTGTTGTTGTTATGTGCCATCGAGTCGGTTCCGACCCATAGCGACCCTGTATAGGGTTTCCGAGGGTGTAAATCTTTACGGGAGTAGAAAGCCTCATCTTTCTCCCACGGAGCAGCTGGTAGTTTCGAACCGCTGACCTTAAGGTTCGCAGCCCGATTCGTAACCACTACGCTACCAGAGCTCCTTAAGTATAGCACAAGGATACAACCCTGACATACACTTTTCCTGATTTTAAATCATTCAGTAAGTATCTTGGTGTTCTGTTTGAGCAACCACCTCTTGGTCTATGAAGAAAAATGTGACATCAGGATTAGAGAAGAGTCATCAACAACCTGCAATATGCAGATGACATAACTTTGCTTGCTGAAAGTGAAGAGAACTTGAAATGGTTACTGATGAAGATCAAAGATGACTTACTATGAGCCAGGTATTATGTTTAGCATTTTACATATACTGTATAGTTTCCTATTGCTGGCATAACAGGCTATCACCAACTTAGTGACTTTAAATGACATGAATTTATTATCTTACAGTTCTGGTGATGAAAATTATGAAATCAGTTTCAATGGGCTAAAAGTCAAAGTGTTCCTTTTGGAGATGCTAGGGGGAGAATCCATTCCCTTACCTTTTCTAGTTTCTAGAAACCAATACAATTGGCAATCATTCAAACAGAACAAGGGAATACTGTATGGTTTAAAATCAGGAAAGGTCTCTGTCAGTGTTGCAGTCTTTCACCATACTTATTCAATCGGTATATTGAGCAAATAATCAGAGAAACTATGCTGTATGAAGAAGAATGCAGCATCGGGATTGGAGAAAAGCTAAATAACAACCTGCAATATGCAGAAGACACAACCTTTTTTGCTGAAAGCAAAGAGGACTTGAAGCATTTATTGATGAAGATCAAAGACTACAACCTTGAGTATGGATTGCACCTCAATGTAAAGAAAACAAAAATCCTCACAACTGGACCCAAAACAACATCACAATAAACGGAGAAAAGATAGAAGTTGTCGATGATTTCATTTTTGTTTGGATCCACAATCAACGCTCATGGAAGCAGCAATCAAGTAATCAAACAATGTATTGCATTAGGCAAATATGCTGCCAAGATCTCTTTAAAGTGTTAAAGAGCGAAGACTAAGGTGCACTCAAGCCATGGTATTTTTGATCACTTTATATGCATTTGAAAGCTGGACAATGAGTAAGGAAGACTGGAGAAGAATTGATGCATTTGGATTATAGTGTGAGAAAAGAATATTGAACGTACCATGGGCTGCCAGAGAACAAACAAATCTGTCTTGAAGAAGTACAGCCAGAATGCTCCTTAGAAGGGAGGCTGGTGAGACTTTGTCTCTGGTACTTTGGACATGTTTTCAGGAGGGACGAGTTCCTGAAAAAGAACATCATGCTTGGTAAAGTAGAGAGTCAGTGAAAAAGAGGAAGTCTTCCAAGGAGATGGATTGACACAGTGGCTACAACATAATAACAATCAAGGTTGACGCACGACCAGATACTGTTTCATTCTGTTGTACATAGGGTCACTGTGAGTCAGAGCCAACTTGATAGCACCTATCAACAGTAACAAGAAAGGTGGCTAATTCTTCTGAGTTCAATTTCTTCAGATGAAAAATGGGAATAGCAGTATTTTTCCTTACTTAATACTGGAAGCTGCTATTTTTTAGGCAAGAGTTGCTTAGAAGTCCAAACTTCTTTCTGCCCTTCCTCCCATTTCTATTATTCCCCTAATTCTCCTTTCCCGTACAACCCCATACACCCCTTGTTTCTTCTTAACACAATTTTCTTTAAGGGTGCTGACATTAGTCATGCCCACTTTCAGAAGTTGAGCAGCTGTGTCTCATCCCAGAGCCATTTATTTATTGGAGGCCTATTTCTGATTCCAGATAGGAAGTCCCCCTGTGCTTCCATCTGCTAATGGGAATTAAGTCATGAATGTACCTATGAAGGAGGAATTGGGGCAATGCCCATACCTCTGGTCAGCCATTACTTCTTTTTCCACTATGTGTCTGGCTTGGTTGGGGAGAGAAGGTGTTGGCAACTGTGATAGAAGGCATTCCTGCATGACTTCATCCCGGGGGGCCTTGCCTCTCAAAATTCCAGCCAAATCAGCTCTACCCTTTAAGGGATAGAAGAAAGGTCTGCATTCCAGAAGTTCCTTGTCATACCCAGGCATTTAATCAAACGACACTGAGGGGGCAACATCCCACTTCTGTAGGGCTCATGGGGAGGAGTGGGAGTAGGAGGGTGGGGAGGGGGTCTTAGAGATCTTTTGCCCCTGCCCCACACAGGTCTTTCGGGCCGGGAAACTCCATTGAGAACTAGACTTTTTGAGTAGGGTTTGTGCAAAGCTCACCGCCGGACAATCAGCACCACGGACAGAGATCTGTGGGCCCTGGTGACCCCGCAGTCTGGCTCCCCTTGTCACCTAAAACTCAGGCGGGGTGTTGAGTTTTAGGCAGGGAGGGCAGGTGGTGGATATAGTCTGATGCTGTTCTCGCTGAGTCACTGTGCGCCCCACGCTCACATGGAACTTGGGACGCTGGAGTTCCCCCTACCCTCTCAAGGAATGGTTGGGGGTGGACAGCAGATCTGCTAGAGAGGAAGGAGCAGAAAATAGGGATCTGTTGGTGTCCCCCACGTGCTCTCTCCCAGGCCCGGCCAGTTTCTATACAAGGCCCTCTCTCTTTAGCCTCCACCTCCTAGGAGTATTCATAACAGATGGGGAGGGCGGAGGGGTGCATGCCCTGGCCCTGAGCTCAGCAGGTCGGAATGCAACCAGTAAAGCAGAGATAACCCCAGGGGGCAGGACCCGCCCAGCTCAGGATAAAAGGCCACAGTTGCCCAAGAAGCCAGGAGAGCGCCTAAGAGGTGAGATTGGAACCCAGACGTGGAACCACAGCAGCGACAGCAACTCCTGACTCTCCTCTCGACATGGACCCGCAGACATCGCTGACTTGGGCTCTCCTGTCCCTTTTGTTCCTGCATCTGTTGCCTCAGGAAGGTTGTTCCCACTCTCTGGGCAACCCTGACCTTGCCACAGAGGTGCCCAGCGCACAGGTGAGCTCTTCATACAACAGCAGGATGAGTGAGCAAGCCTCAATGAATGGGACCCCATCACCCTTCCCAAGGAATCCCCACCTTCCCATGAGAATTAGTGATAAGGGTATCTGGAAGCAAGGAGATTGGGTGCCAGGCCCCCCTACCCAAGGCAACCGGTTCATTTGGGATTCATTAGGGCATGTGAAGGGTGTGAGTTCCTGAGACCTGAGTTCCTGAGTTCCTGTCCACTACAAAAACTACTCTTCCATCTTCAGGACAAGTTTTCCAAGCTGGGAAGAGATCAGTTGGCCTTGGAGTCCCGTCAGCAGGACAATGGCTCTGTTGAAGACTGGGAGGTAGCACCCATGGGTGCTCCCCGGCCTAGCAACAACCAGAAGAGACCAAACAGCTCCAAGAAGGGTTCTGGATGCTTTGGACGGAAAATAGACCGCATTAGCTCTGCCAGTGGCCTGGGTTGCAACGGTGAGCTCCTACCCCAGCACCCCACAAGCATGCTGCACACCCACATCTTCCCCATGTGGTCCATTATTAAGTCAATTTTGGGTTTGTTATTTCTGGGGGTCATACTCACTCAAAGGGCAGCTGGGCACATCACTCCTTGCTGAGACCTCCAGGCCAAAGGGTGTCTTTCTAGAAATATTAAATGTGGACACCATTCATTGCTGTTCCCATGAGCCCACCCACTTGTCACCACTCCTTCTACCAAAAGGGGCACAATCACTTTAGAGTAGATTCAAATCAGTGTCTGGCAACCAACACCTGGAACAGAGGGAGCTCCGGGCAACCTTCCTCTTGTTTTCCCCAGGGCAACTATTACGTCTCACTTATAGATGAAGAAACTGAGGCCCACTCAGAGAGATCAGTTGTTCCAGAGCTTCAGATATCAAGATCAGTCAAAGGCTGAGGGTGGCAGGGGTGGGCTATAGTAAGGGAGCATTCAGATCCTGCCTCAGTCTTTATTTTAAAGATATAACCACACTCTCTTTTTTCCCTACAGGGGTGAGGAGGCATTAAGAGGATGTTCTGACCTCAGGCATTCACATCTGATCCTGAAACGAGTCATTCCTCAACCTTCTAATTCTGAAACTGATCTGTCCCCAGCCCTTTGAGCCCCTTGAAAGTGACTCCTATTTATTTATATGCTTTTATTTGCTTATTTTATAAATATGACTTCTTACTTTTGAGCACATAATTTCCATGGTGGAATAAAGTCAACATTATAGCATTATTTTTTGAAACTGATTTGTCTCAGTACTTTAAAAATAATGACCATTTCCCGCTGAAAATGAAACCGAACTCTGTGTTTTCTTGAAGACATCTTAATGGTGGGGTGGAGACACTGGCCTCAAGGACTGGCTGAGAGCATCAGGGAGTCTTTCTTTGAGGATTTTTCCTTGTCTGAAATTATCTGTAAACACCTCAAGCACATCATACAATTTGCAGAAACTGCTTTTCAAAACAAGGCAGTTTCTTCCTTGGAGAGGAATGGGCAGGATGGATTAACATGATATGAGGGTATATGTCTACAAGTCTGTCCCACTGGTCTGCCCTCTGCCTGGAATCCCATTAGAGACACTCTTCCCAGGGACTTATTTCCAGAAGGTCTATGGGTAAATGACAGAGCTCGGGGAAGTGTGTGCGTGCATGTGCACAAATGTATACAAGGCATTGGTTCATTTGGGGTAATCCGTCCATCCCACCCCAAATACCAGCTTCAAGTCCCAGAAAAAGAGTTTAATAGTATTTAATTCCCCAAGTCCATGAGGTTAACGGTGTTTGACAAGAGACTCAGCTTTTTAGATCTGAAGAATTAGACAAGTGATGCTGTGCAATCCACAGCATCACTTCCTCTCCACTTCAAAAACAGAGCTCTTCATTCTAAAGTGAAAAAAGAGACCACTACCAGAATACTACTGTGTTGTTTTAATCATCAGGGAGTCCTAGTGGGGGTTCACTTCCCCAACACACCCTACCGTCATGCAGTTGGTCCCCTTGCCCCACTACCATGATTTTATGCTCCTAAGCTTTATTTAGTTTATATTGTTCCCTTTATCCTGAATGCTTCTTATGATCTTGACTCAGCAGAGGGGAAAAACACCATGAAGTCAGGACTACCATTAAACCCATTTTCTGCATGAACAAACCAAGTCTCAGAAAAATAAAGCTCCCCCATGAGGGCACGTAACCACTGATTGTTGGCACTGAGATTTGAACTGTCTCCACACTCTCTGGTCTTGAACAGCATCTCAAACCTTTTCTGGCTTTCTCATTCAATGTTTCTTTGAGTTAAATGGAGACAGGTATTATTTTTCATTTCAACCCAGAATATGTTAGAGATTATGGATATTTAACAAGGTCAAATTATTATTATTATTTTTAAAATGAGGCTTTAGAAGCAGTGTATTTTCCAACAAAATCGTGAACTGTCTTTGCTTAATGTTTCTAGCGCAGGGTTTACTGTTGTTGTTAGGTGCCATCCGGTGACTTGAGTGTTGCTGTGATTCTGTAAGCTGTGCCTTAGGTATTTTGAATACCAGCAGGGTCACCCATGGTGAACAGATTTAAGATGAGTTTCCAGACGAAGACAGACTAGGAAGAAGGAGAGACTACTTCCGAAGATTTAGTCACTGAAAACCTTGTAAATAGTAGCGAGACACTGTCAGACATAATGTCAGAAAATGAGCCCTTCAGGTTGGAAGGCACTCAAAATGCGACTGGGGAAGAGCTGTCTCCTCTTTGTGATGATGCAAATGAGGTATAGCCCTTGGGACCTTCATTTGTTAATGGGGCACAACTCAAGATGAAGAGAAGAACAAGCTGTAAACATCCATTAATAATCAGAACATGGGTACCAGCGAGCCAGCCACAGCAGAGAAGACTTTAAGAACTGTTTAATCCTTGGGGAACTGGATAAACCCCAGAGACATTC